GTGCAGTGGAACAGATCGTAATTCCAGCAACTCAGGAGGCTGAGGCAGAAGGATTTCAAGTTCAAGGCCAGCATGGGACAACTTAGTGAGACCTTGTCTTAAACTAAGATTTAAAAAAGAGATGGAGTGGTAGCTTGGAGGCAGAATGCTCCGGAGAACACCTGGTACTACCAAAAAAAAAAAATTTTTAAATAATTTTAAATGATCGTAGACTGTGGTATTTTCTTCTAAGGAAACAATCTAAAAGGGAAAGAAAATGCCAAGACTCCCCTGTGGCTTTGTTGGTCAACTGGAAACAATCTCAAAGGAAAATAGAGAGGAGATGGCTAAGTCAAAGATGACCCACCACCTGCACACAATGCATCCTGTCAACAGAAGGCCTGACAAGAAAATGCAGGGAAGACCCAACCCAGAAAGAAAAGCTCCTTTTGGAAAATCACACTCCACACAGCATGAGGAAGACTACAGAGCAATGTGAAGAAGGGCTTACAACACAGCACCAAAAGGAAAAGAAAGTTGTGAAAGGATCTCTGTTAGTATCACAAGGATCTCAAAATGGATGGATGCCAAGGCCCAGAAAGAAAGAGGAAAAAGTGAAAACACCAGGCAGAAACTATTCTGATAGTAAGAGTATAGTGATTCCTCACCCAACATCCTTTTCTTCTTTGTTGTTTTAAAAATATCAGGGAAAAAGGGCAAGACACAAGGGGAGCTGTGAGACATTAAAAGTTTTTCTAAACAACACCTGATGCCTGAAATCTGATAATGGCCTAATAATGTTCAATCAAGAACAGAGCAGCAGTTTCAGAGCCCTTGATATGTGATGAGATGAATCCGTACACAGGGGACACAGTGAAAGATATCAACTAGAGTAATTCTGTTTCATTTTATTAGGAGGTTGGAAAAGGAAGGAATATCCATTAAATTACATAAAATATTAAGGATTCTGCCTTAAAAGAAGTGACTGTCAAGGCATGAACCCCTGGAGAACACATTCCCAACTGAGGGCAATAATCTTCTCAGGGATAGCTATAGCTTTCCAGCAAGAAAATGCCAGTTTTGGGGCTGGAGTTGTGGCTCAGTGGTAGAGCACTATTGCCTAGCACATGCGAGGCACTGGGTTCAATCCTCAGCACCACATAAAAAATAAATAAATAAAATAAAAATATTGTGTCCAATTATAAAAAACTGAAAAATATTTTAAAAAAGGTGCCCAAGGAAAGCCAGAAATCCAAATTTATTGTGAAATTTCCTCCCTTTTTAAGCACTGACAACTAATTCGAGTTTTAAAAGAATACTGTGAGGGCAAACAAAAACAACTGTAGGCTGGATATAATCTGTTGGCTGTCATAAGAACACTCTAAATACCCTAAACCAGGGGATGTATTGCTCTTTGGAGTCAAGAAGATTCCATCTAAGGATATGTGAGTGTACATAAATAAGCACAATGGGGTGAGCCAGGAGGAAGGCTGACCAACTTCCATCCCATTTGGGAAGGCAGCTAACATTTGCATGATGTAAATGAGCTCTATTCAGTCCCATCAGCTTACTCATTGACTCAACTTTGCAGAGGAGTCATTTGAGGCTGGTGAAATATGGTCCCTGTACAATGAGAATGATCAACTTCTTTTTACCTTTCTCAGGCCAGCAGCTCAGACAGACAAACTGTCTATGATAGAATAGCTTTCCAGGCATCTACTCAGGCCTGTTTTGGATACAGAGGGTGAGACTCTGTGCTATGTTGGAAATGTCAGTCCTATCTGTTGGCTACCTCACTGCCATGTTGTAGTTTTGGACAAACAAACATATCCAAGCCAATAAAATCTTTTGTAACACAGGTTACTTCTGTGATAATTCAGAAGCTTTTCATGCTACAATCCACCTCTGACCCACCTGTGCAGAAGTAGTTACATTACCTGGCCACAAAGCTGGCAGTCTTGTCAACGATATTCCTGACCTCTGGGGGAGGGTAAATAATCCCAACCACTGGCTTGGAAGGTGTGGAATCTTCCTTTGAAGATGCTTCTTCTTCAGTTGGCTGTGAAAATAGAAATTAAAGTCTTGAAGTCCCAGGTCTGGGGAAGAATTTCCCTCATCCCAACTCATTATACCCTTCCAGGATATTGCTTACAGCACAAACTTTGCCCTGCAGACTTCCTTAGAACCCTCTGCTTCAGAAAAGCAGTTCTCTTACTTGCATGGTGCTTACACAGGTTTCTCCTGGGAACCAAGGAAAAGGGGAGCTTCCTTGGCTCCCCTCCAGGTCTCAGTGAGACCTGCATTTTAACCAAATGCTCAAGTGATTCAGATGCAGCAGCTCTGGCTACTTCTGAGAAGATGACCAGAACCCAGAAGATCATGTTTGTAACCCTGCACCCAGCACTGTGCCTGGCACAGAACATTCAATTTGCAGACCAGTCGTATTGATTGCTGAATAAAGAAACAAGAAGCTGGGGTGTAGCTCATGGTAGAATATATGCTAAGCATGTATAAAGCCTTGGTTTAATTCCCAGGACCCAACACCCACATGGGTAATTCCTTGCTGGCAGCTTCGTTCTGCTTTGAATTCCCTTTCTCTCTGTATCTATTCCATAGCTTCAATCACCATTCAATGCACCGATGTTTTGTGAAGCACCCCTGGAATAGCCGAATTTCCCTGTAAGTTATCATGTTCTTTATCCAGTAGCTTCTTTCCCTTAGTAATAAACAAAGGGTCAAGTCCTTCACCTTAGAAAAATAAAATCTATGCCCTGCCTTCAAGTTCTGTTCCACTGCTGCCTTCTCCCTCCTTTTCTTACTGTAGCTTAACATCCTGAGTTTCCACTACCTATCTCCCATTTGATCCACATTCATTCTAAGTGCTCTTGCCAAGGTAAAAAACAACTGCCAACAATCAACTACAACCATTATCTGGACAACACCAGTGACTATCCATCCCTTCACAAAACTGTTTAACCACAGCCTCATTCTATCTTTCCTTCTTGCTCATGATTCCTTCCTGCCTCCTATCCTATAATGCTAGAGACCCCTAAAATTTTGCTTTTGGTTCTCTTTACTGTATTCACATTACTGAGGCAATCCTAACCATGTCCCCTACTTCCTCTGTTTGGCTGAACAATCCAGCCAAATCAATCCAGATCACTTTGGAATGCCACAGTGCTTTAGGTGCAGCCTACTCCTTGGCATTTTGCACTTTTCATTTCTAACCTCATAGATGGTCTCCAACTCACACAGGCCAGAAACCCGGGCCTCCACAATGATAATATTTATTTGTAAAAGCCTTAACAAAGTAGGTTGCGGGTGTCTTTTAAAAGCATTTAAATTTATTAACTCTTACAACCCTTATAAGAACCCTATGAAGTAAATATCCTCCCAGTACTGGGGACTGAACCCAAGGCTTTTTAGACAAGTGCTCTAGCACTGAACTACATCATCCCCAGCACTTATGTCAGTCTCTAAGTTTCCCAGGCTGGCCACAAACTTGGAATCCCCCCCTTCCTCAATTTCCTAGGAGGCTGGGATTAGAGGTGGGCCCCACAATGCCTAGCTCCTCAGTATCTCTGATCCCCCTAGCAATTCCCCTCATTACTGCCTGACAACCTGAATCTCAAACAGAACTATTACTACCTAGAAATTCTTCCATTTTTCCCATTTTTTAAAAGGACAAGGTTAAATCCTAAGAATCATATCTCCAGCTACCATGTTCCCCACCCTGTACTTCAGCCACACTTGCTCACTTACCCTTGATCAGGGAGAGGCACTATCTGATTCTTATCTTGCTGCTTTTGAACTTACTACCTGGTATTACCTTATTTTCCCCTAGTGCCTAGGAAAATGACAAGAACACATAAATACTGGTGAAAAGGACATGGGTCTTTTCTGTCATGTTGCTTGGAGTATTCTGAATCCAAAGCAGTGATCAGCATACAGTGTGAGCTCAGTAAATGTTCACCGAATGATTACAGTATGCCATTTTCCTTCCCTAATCATCCTCCTGGTGAACTATCAATCCTTCTAAAAATAATTTACCTCTCTTTACTGTGCACTTCAACTATGGTCATCTCTCCTCTACCCCAGCAAGAACTTTTGATTTAACGGCTCCTTTGTATCCAGTACTTCTAGTATTGTGATACCACACCATATAGCAATTATTCATGCATCTGTTTCACCAATAGCCAACTGAGCACTTTAGGGGTGAGTGGCACTTCATCATTTATATTAATCAACGCAATAAACATTTGGTGGGTATTCTAGTCTGTTCGTCTTCCCTAAAGCTGGGGTTGTGCCTCATTCATTTTGGTAATGTTGAATCCCAGCACAGTAAGTGCAGAGAAGATGCTAAGAATTAACATCCAAAAAGGTACCACGAAGGTAGGGAAATTAGGAATTACAAGACAAAAGCCTAGTGGATGGGCTGAATCAGTGCTTCTCACACTTTAATTAATCACTGTGATCTTGTTAATAATGTCTACTTAAAAATTCTGGGTTAGTGACTGCATTTCTAATAAGCTCTAGGTGATGCCGGTGCTGGTGGTCTGCGGACTACTTTGAGAACTAGAGTTCTAGAGGGAAGGTCGCGCAGCGGGGAAAGCGCGTTGCCTCCTGGGACTTGTAGTCCTTCCAAGCTCTCCAAAGGGGCCGCTTCTTTCTGCGGGAGTGAGGAGGGCTGGACGGGAGGGCCCAGGCCTAGGCTCCGGCTCCGACTGCGGTTGAGGTGGGGGACGCGGTACCTGTTTGGGTTCGGTGGCCACGGGAGGCGGCGGGGGCACCGCCTGCACGGGTCCGGCCGGCATGACTGCGACGCTCAGGGCTGCCAGTCCGCCTCGGTATCGATGACTGGTACTGCGTCAAGACACACTCGCGCACCCACCGTACGACGATCTCGCAAGATGGCGGCGGCTAAGCGGGTCGTCGTCGCGGAGGCGCGACTGGCGCACTTCCGGTCCCTCCCCTCGCTATGGCGAGCTTCCTGTTCCTCAGGGTGGGTACTGCCGCACGCGGCGCCGTTGCCATGACAACACTCTTGACGCTAAGCTAGAGTTTTCAAAGGATCTTCAGAGCTGCAGGCGCCCTGGGTGTAATTCCATGAGCCAGCCAGACGCAGAAGCTAAGGCCAGGACTTCAAAGACAGGTGAGATGTTCCACATTACTTTCGGGACAACCGCCTGTCTAACCTCGCGGCCATGGTTGTTGCTTTATTCCACAGGCCAGTTCCGTGTTCCCATCGACCCCGCCTTACAAGGTTCCCTCTCGCTCCCTCAGATTTGGCATCTCCTGGTGGAGAGCCCGGGCCACTTAGGTCCACCGGCTCAAAACTCCACCTTCTTACTCCTTTAGACTCTTTCGCTTCAGGCCCACCTCCTTCAGGGCCCCCTCTCAAATCTAACGTCCTTAATTCCCACCCGTGGGTCTACCTTTTCTAAGTCCCACCCCTGCCTTCCTTAGGCTCCTCCTCAAGCCCCACTGGACCCTCTCAGATCAGGTCAGGTTCTGACCCTGACTCCCACAGGTTAGGCCTTGCAGACCATACTCCTTGTTTTGCAGAGACACGCTTCAATCACGCTAGCTTCTCTCCCTCTGCCAAGACCTTCTCATCCTTGTCCCCTCTCCTCTCAACTCCGGAATGCAGGGAGCTGATTTAGAGCCCTTGCTGGACTTCAATTTTCTCACCTGTGAAATGGGGCAGTGATAGGAAGAGTTTCTCTCCCAAGACTCTTTCCCCTGTCTGCACACTTTACCTTATTAATGTCATTGTTATTATTAATGTAGAACGGTAATGATAGCTAGAACCCATCTCAATGGCACGTGCTACCCCAGAAGCTGAGATAGGAGGATCACTTGAGCCAAGAAGTTGAAAACCAGCAAAAGAGCAAGACCCTGTAGTAAGTAAATGAATAGAAAGCAAGCAAGCTAGGATTTATTAAGTATTTACTGCAAACCAGACCCAGTGCCAAACATTACATGGGTTAAATCACTTGTTCCTTATGGCATCCTATTTATAGATAAAGACCATGAAGTTCAGAGTTGATAGGTGGAAGTCTAAACTCAGGCCCATCTTCTCTACTAGTGCAGATGGTTATTCTTTTGTCTTTACTCAAGGCTGGGATCTCTTTGGTGTCCCCAGAGATCCAGGCAATTAGCAGTTTCAGGTTAGAGGATGACAACTGCCATGTAGGTGGTTTTAGAGTTTCTATAGTGTTTTCATGGTGGTGACTTTGAATTTCAGTGAGTACACTGGTTGGAGGTAGGCATAATCTTTACCGGTAGTATAAGGGGCTAGTTCTGAGAAAGAGGAGGGGCCTGAATGTTGAACAGGAGTGAACAAAAGGCTCTTGCCTTTCTCTGGGGGTCAGAAGTCCACCCTGTGAACTAAGTGCTTCTCAAACCACACATCTGCATAACCTCAGTTTTCAAAAGAAATGATTAAAGATAACCTTGGATATTCATATTCATTCATATTCCTCTCTCATTCATATTCATTCTCTCTCTCTCTCTCTCTCATGCTGGGGTTAATCCAGGGCCTTGTGCATGCAGTGCAAGCACTCCACCACTCCACCACTGAGCTATATCAGCCCAGCCCAACCTTGGATACTCTTAATGCTTTAGCTTTTGCTGCTGCTTATCTGAACCAGAATCTAATGGGAGTTGGTATCCAAGATGACCTGAGATGGCTGCTGTAGTAATTTGATGGTGAACAGACCTGTGTTTTTTGGTACCTTCACCAGAAAGCTCATGAGTTCTAGGACCTTTACCCCTGAATTTGCTTCCTCCTGAGTTGGGGCTTTTTGCTTTCTTTATCTCCTTCATGCTCATTCCAGGAAGGAAACCCAAATGTTGCAGTCTGTTTTTCCCCTCTGTTTCCACTTCACTCCTTAGGAACATAAAATCTCTTAGGCAGCATTATCTCCCAAGAGGCAGTTGCCAAAGCAACACATGTATGCATCTTCCTAGCCTGTGAGTGAATCTGACACACCCAAGTTTACCCTCAGAGACCCTCAGACATATTGTTTCCTGGAGGACAGGTATCTGTATGTCCTGCTCTGTTTCTTGTCTCCCCCCCTTGACCCCATACTGAGGATTGACCCTAGGGATGCTCTACCATTAAGATAACCCTGGTTCATTTTTTTATTTTGAGACAGGGTCTCACTAAGTTGCCCAGGCTGGCCTCACACTTGCAATCCTCCTGCCTTAGCCTTCTAAGTTGCTGGAATTACAGGTATGCACCACTGTCCCTAGTCTTGATACAGGACATAGCAGTATGGATACTTAGTCCCTGTTTGCTGAATGAATGCAGCATCCTATCCTCTACATCTGCATTGTACAAAACTGTAATTACCAGCCCATATGGCTTTTAAGCATGGAATACTGTCTGATGCAAATTGAGATGCTCTGTAAATAAAGGTCAAATAGACACTAGGTAATTTTATTTTTATTTTTTGTTTTTGTACAGGGGATTGAACCCAGGGGTACTTAACCACTGAACCACATCTCCAGCCCTTTTTTATATTTTATTTAGAGAAAGGGTCTCACTGAGTTGCTAAGTGCCTTGCTAATCTGCTGAGGTTGGCTTTGAACTCAAGATTCTCCTTCCTCATCCTCCTGAGTTTCTGGGATTACAGGCGTGTGCCACCACGCCCGGCAGGTGACTTTTTTTGTGTGTGTACTGGGCATTGAACTCAGGGGTACTCAACCACTGAGCCACATCCCTGGCCCTGTTTTGTATTTTATTTAGAGATAGGGTCTCACTGAGTTGCTTAGCTTCTCACTGTTGCTGAGGCCGGCCTATTCTCCTGTCTCAGCCTCCCAAGCCACTGGGATTACAGGTGTGTGCCACCACGCCCGGCTGACTTAATTTTTAAAATGTGAAAAAAAAAAAAACTCTTAATTGTATGTTGAGTTCATGTTGAAATAATGTTTTGAGTATATTCAAGTAAAGAAATGTTGTTAAAATTAATTCACCACTTTTTTTTACTCTTCTTAATGTGGTATAGGAGAGAAAAGGTAATATCTTTTCCTTACCCATCACAAGGGTTTTGGCTGAGGACCCTATAACAAAGACAAATTAGCAATAGAAGAGCATACCAATTTATTTAATAAAGTGAAGGCTTTAGAAGTGAAGACCCAAAGACACCAAGACATCTGTGTATTTTCATTCACAATCATCCTGATATCACAGTATGATAGGACAAAAAGGGAGGCACTTAGCAAGGACTATTTGTTCATATTTTTCTTGTCATTCCTGTGTGACATTCTTTCCCAATCTGCTATATAGGAGAGGACAACTGTCACACCAGGTCTTTAGGAGAGAAGGGAAGGAGGAGGTCATTGAATGACCTCTCTAGGTTGTATGGCCCATTTTAGGGAAGAAAGATGAAGGGAAGGTGAGAAGGCTTTCCTGCTTCTGCTTCTCAGTTTCCAAGATGCCATATTTTGAGATAGGGTTCCTGTACCCCATAAGTGGCAAGTACAAAATCTAAACCCCATATGTACCTTGCATTGTATTTATCTTAGACACTGCTGCTATTGAAAGAGCTTGGCCTAAGGAAAGAATAGAGATGTTAGATTCAGAATCCCAGCTCCCTAGGAGACCTTAGGCTAGCCTCTTAGCTTCCCAGAGCCTAGGTTTCCTTTTCTATGTAAAGGAGGGAAATGCAGTGAAGTAGTGCACAGTAGTCTGTTTAATCAAAGCTAGTACTATTAAAGCACACCCATTGTGTTTAGGCTCAAAGCATGCATCCCACCCACCCTTTCACCCCATTTCTCCAGCGCCTTCTTCCTAGATAGCTTCCAACCCACCCCAGGAACCCCTGCCTGACTATGCACTCACTCACTCTTACCTTCATCCATTCCCAGGTACTGAAGGGCAGCTTGAGGCCAGTCTTGCAGCAAATACAGGAAAGCCAGGCAACTGAATGAGACCCAGAGTATAAGAACCAGACTCAGTGGGTCACTCCAGCACTATAGGCAGACACATGTGAGAGGTGAGAGCAGAGCCCAGTTCTCTTGGAGACTGAGTTCCCTTCAGCTGTGGAGTATCATCCTCAGGTACCTGAGCTTCCCAGCACCTGTGAACGAACTGGTCCTCAGGCCTCAGCCCAACTGGTCAGGTCATACTCAAAGGACAAGGTCTACACACAGGGAGACAGACAACTGTTACATACAGATATTTAATGATTCCATTCTGGTGGTGGCATATGCTTGGAAGAAAAAGACAGGGTGCTAAAAACAATGTATAACAGAGGACCTCACTCAGCCTGGGGTTCTGGAGGGCTTTCCTGAGGAGGGGACATAGGGGTAGAAATCTGAGGGAAGTATCTTATCTAGAGGAAGTATGAGATATGGGCACATTCTGGGTGATGAGACCAGGAAGTGTTCCAGTCCTCAGTGCTAGCTGTTGTGACTTGCTTGAGGCCATGAAGCCAGGAAGAGCAAGGTTGGTTAGAATAGGTCTCCATACAAGTTTCCAGGTTTTCATCTCTTACACTTCAGACCTTATTTTTCCCCAAAGTCAGTGCATTTTAGATTTCTTATGTGATTTTTTTTCTTTATTCAGTTCTCAATTATTCATTTGCCAATGGGCAAGGCCCCAGTTGACCATGCTGAAGATACCACAATGACTATTGACACAGAGAGGAGGCTGTTACAGCAGTGAGGGATCAGGGCTGATTTGGGATTATCTAACCCAGCCTGGAGGGTACTTTGGGTAGCCTTCCTGGAGGAGGTGATACCCAGGGACCCTCAAGGATGAAAGGAGTTAGCTAGGTGACAGGAATCCGATGGAGAAACATGATTCAGACTGGGACAGATGAGCAAGGATTCAGAAATGAGTGTGCAGGGCACATGACTGCTGCTCACAGCTGATGGTGGAAGGAGTGGAATATGGCAGGGTAGACTATGAGGTGAGGAATGCTGCCATTCTATGGCCCTTGGGAGAATATGGCCTTCTCCCAAGGGCCATAGAGCCATAGGGAGTCCTGAAGGGTTGTTGGCCAGCTGATGTGGTCAGATAGAGTTTGGTGCAGATCTCTTAAGCCAAAGTTGATCAAATTACAGCAGCAGATAAAATTGTAGGACTGCCAGAAGCTGCTGCATTAGTCTAGGCAGGAGATGGCAGTGGTCTGGTATATCCCAGCACTCCCTGTCATGGTATAGCTATAACTCTTTAAATTGTCCATATCCCTGTTTGAGAGTTTTACCTAGGAGGGAAGGGTGATAAACACATTCCTGTTCACAGCTGTATACACCCAACATTTGGGCCCAGCACTTGCAGGCTTTCAGGAAGTACTTGAGAAATAATGGGATAGGTAGGGTGGGTACAGGGTTGGGTGGATGAGAGGGAGGCTGGCCAGGCCACCCATAACCAGGTCCTAAAACGTCTGTTACTCAGGGATTGGGAACAGACTTCTCCCCAAGGTCAGGGCCAGAATTTTGGCTGAGAAGCAACCAAGCAGATTAGGGTTTTCCAAAGATTCCTTCAGCAGCAATAACCTAACTTTGACTAACAGGGTTTCTCTCTGCCCACCTCAGGAGCTGTGGGGATGGCACATCTGCTGGGCAGCCAGTCCTGCATGGACAGCCTGCGCAAGGACCTCACTGATCTGCAGGGTGCTATTGTGGATGTGTTCTCACGTGCTGGGCCTGTGCGCTTCCCCTCCTGGAAGTTCCCTGACCGTGTGGCCTGTGACCTCGACATGGTGGCCCTGCTGGAACACTATGACCATGTGCCAGATGATCCCGAATTCACGCAGCTGTCCCATGCAGTGCTGCTAGAGCTGGTCATTGACAGGTGAGGGCCTTGGTAGAATCTGGACATCCCTGGATGCTAGCATCTGCCCCTTATACCAGTTGCAGCTGTAGGAACCCCTTTTAGAGGTGGTAAGGACATGGGTAAAAGTAATCACCATTGACTGAGTACCTGTCAGGGGCTATATCAGCTCAGGACCCTTGAAATGACCTCATCTTTTATTGTGTTCAGTGCTATGCTGTCCTATTGCCTCCATTGTCAGGGAGTTACCACCTACCCCTTTCAGTCCTTGGTTCACCACAGTTCTAACCACTGTCTCAGGGTTTCTGTGTCTGGGACTCCTTAGCTATCGCTCAGAGTTTCCATCCCAGGCTCTTTTTTCTGGTGTCTTGTGGGCTGTATTGTTCCCTCTACACATCACAAGGCCAGACATGGGATGTTTTTCCACTTCCTGGTCCTGCTGGGAAAAGGCTAGTGGATTCCCTATAGCCCCCCACCATTCTACACTGTCATTAAAGTTAGCATGACTGGTCTGGGGATGTAGCTCAGTGGTAGAGCCTATTGGCCTAGCATGTGTGAGGCCCTGGGTTCCATCCCCAGCACACACACATACAAAATAACAACAATAAAAAAAATTAATGTGGTCATTAGCCTTCCTGGAAATTGCAACCTAGGCTCTTGGTACTCAAAAACCTTATATGACAGTAAAGCCATGGGGGCCTGACAGGCAGCAGGGATGTTGCAGCATGACTCACCTGGAAACAGAGAAGGCAGGATTACTACTCTGAGACCTGGTGGAGCTGTAGGTAAGAAAGCACCATTTGTAACCTATAAGAAGCCAGATAAATATGAGTCTAGAACACACCTTCCTTCTTCTGTGACTGTGCATTACGCATTATCCCCCTGTTCAGAGTGCTCTACCCATTCCCTGCTGGTCTGCCCCTCTCATCTATCAAAGCTCTGTTTACCCATTCCTTCTCTGTGAAGTTGTTACTGAAATGCCCCCCTACCCACTTCAGGCCACATTAACTGGAGCTTCCTTTGGGCCCCTGTGTATATAAAAGTAACTCCTGCCAGAGACCACTGGACCTCAGACTCAGACTTGCCTGGGAACCCTGACCTCTAGCCCCCAGTGTGGCATTTAGAGGTACTCAGGTCATTTCAAGGAATGGAATCAGAGCTAAGGATGAAGACAGCACAGCGTCTTCCACCATTAGAGTCTGTCTGGGCACAGATTGCTGTGCCAAGGCCATGTTCTACCCTCTTTCCAGATGTGTCCCCATTCCCCATTGCTGCTTGGCACAATGCCAGGCACCACTGTCCCCAAGATACAAATGGGGCAAGGCCAGGAAGCAGTTGGCATCTCCTCCCCAGACCCCAGGGGTTTGGGATACCCTTCCTGCATCTGAAATAAGAAAAGGTCTCTTATCTTCCTGCATATGCTGTGAATACAATACCTTTTAAATAACTCCATATTCATTCAATGTAAACTTATTTTTCCAACACCCCTTTTTTCTTAAATTAATGCCTGCCTCTAATTTTGAACTTGGAAATTAGCACAGAGACCTCATCCCAAGTCTCCCTTGTTACAAAAGTAGGTCAGCCTGTGGGAGAAGCCCCTGACTACACTCAGGAGGCTGCACTGTGCATCTTTCCTGCCCTGCTCACTCTGTGGCTGTGGAGGGCCCTTGACTTCTTGGGGTCTCAGCTGTGTCATCCGTAAAGGTTCTAGGGCACTTGATATAAGGCAGTTGCTCACCCAGAACTTCCAGGCACTCAGAATATATCTTATATGTAGCCAGGCTGGCCTCCCTGAGTTCCCTGATCAAGTTGGGGGAACAGCCAGGCAGAAGGGCTGCCACCAGGAGGCTCCTAAGAGGCCCCTGAGCCGAGCTGGGGGCCAGGGAGGGCTTCTTGGAGACAGTGGCCACTGAGTTGTCATTGAAGCTGACCCAGCAGCAGATTCAGAGACTCTCCAAGTTCCTGATGCCTGGGCCGCTTTCCCAGAGTCTGAAGCTGCCAGTTGTGTGGTGTGAGGGCACACTAGCCCATCTTGATCCTGGCCCACCGTGGCATCTCTGCCTACAGGCTCCTGCTGCTACTTCAGAGCTGCACCAGCTACCTGGAGAACCTTGGCTCAGGTCAGACAATGCCCCCTGCCCAGGCTGCAGGGCCCTGCATGTCCGTGGGGCTCACAGTACGACGCTTCTGGAATAGCCTGCTAAGGCTGGGCATGCTCTACCAGCAGGTGGCTGGCCAGGTGAATGGGCCCCAGCCCCCAATGGTGATGCCCCTCATACCCTGCCTCAACTTCAGCTTCCTAGTGTGCCACTGTGTGCACTGCATCCTTCATTGACTCCCTACTGCTCACAGGGAGCAGGGTAAACTCTGCAGCCTCCCAGTCAAGGCCCACATGGCATAGTAGTTAAGAATGTAGGCTTTGGTCATATCTGTGCTTCCTGGCTCTGCCATTTACGCCATGGGACTTCAGGAAAATCCTACCTATTCAGACTCTAAGTTTGTTCATCTGTACAGTAGGGCTAAGATGAGGCCCCATGTGGTATGGGTTGTCCCATAGTCCTCCAAACCATCCAGTAGGGAAGGACATCTGTCACCATGAGGAGGAAGAAATTAAATGAATGGTGATAGTGACATGACAGCAAGCAAGGGCCCAGTAATTGGCTGCTGTTCCTGTCACTGTTACCCTCCCAATACCACGTATATCATCACATCAAATTTGGGGTGAGGGTGGGGGCAGAAGAAAGGAAGCCTGGGCTTAGTAAGCTGAGTCACAGGAAAAATCACATTTTCTCTTATTCCTGTTTTGTCAGATATCATTTGAGAGTCTGAGCATTGGGGCAAGGCTGTTACAGAACATCCCCAGGGAACTGGTCACTTCCCAGGCCCATTTCTCTCTCACCTGCTTTCCCTTTCTTTTTATAACCCCAGAAAAGGGCAAAACAAGGAGAGACTCCCATCTCTAAGCCCACAGCCAAGGGTGAGCCAGCCAGGAGCCCTGAATGTATGACTGCCAAGTTCATCAAGCCTCCCTCCCCAACAGCAGGCTTGACCCATACCTACCAAGGGCCACAGAGAATCCCTGTCAGAGTCTCCTTGAGGTATCCAGCTGGGACATCCAAGAACACCAAAAGCGTCCAGTCCCAGACCATCGAGACAGCGCTGGTACCCTGTGATGCATGTACCAGTGTCCAGGGCAGCCTTTGGGAAGTGGGCAAAGTGGTCATCAGCCTGTGTCAGAGCCAGAACTTGCCCTCATCCTTGGGTCAGTTCCAGCAGCTGGTACAGGACAGCATGGGGCTCAGGCCACTACCAGCTGCCACCATGGGCCACTGGGCAACAGAGCAGAGCAAAGACCTGGCACGCCTCAGTAAGCATGTGAGCACTCTCACTCAGCTTGTTGGGCCCCTTAGGGCCCAACTGGAGGAGGCTGAAGGACAGAAGGATGGACTGAGGAAGCAGGTGGGCAAGCTGGAGCATGCCCTGAAGCAGGAGCAGGGCGAGCGGCAGCGGCGGGCAGAAGAGGCTGAGCAGCACATGGCCCAGCAGGAGTGTGACAGGCAGCATTTACTTGCAGGTCTGTATCCCAAAGGCTGGATATTCAGTGCCCATGGGCTCTGCTAAAGTCTTGCCATGGGCACTTTCTGAGGTAGACCCTGACACAGCTTGCGTGGAAGGAACCTGGCCTGGGGAGTAGGCAAGGAGGAGAAGGTAGCAAAGAAGAGCATGTCCATCCAGCTGGTGACACTGTGAGCAGCTAGAGCTCAGTCCCACTGGGGAACACCAGGAGATAATGGATGGCACATGTGCCTCAGAGTAGTCCCATCAGAAGGGGAGGGAGCTAAGATATTAATCCACTTGCTCTCCTGGAGGTCATTGAGGGTTACTTCTGGGGAACTTGTTCCCCTAGTATTTCCCCCTTAGTGGAGCAGTCTCTCTGGCTTTGACCAAAGAGATACAGCTCCCAGCAGGAGCTTCTCAGTATCCTCTGATGGTTTGAAGCCTGAGGAACTGGGGCAAGTCCAAGCCTCACCATTACCTCCATGGAAGGCACCAAGGCCCAGAGAGGTATAGGCACACAGCAGCCAGCCAGTGAGAAGCAGGTTGGGGGCTCAAGCATCTCCCCAGGGCTTCTTTGGCAACCTCTGGTGGCCTCTTCCACACTGCATGGCTGCCTCTGCTCTGCAGCATGCATTGTGTATGTGGGCTGCTGGCTAGTCCCAAAAGACCCTTTGAAGGACCTCTCTCTCTGCTGCTCTAGAAACATGTGACCTAAAAACAAAGGTGGCCACCCTAGAAGAGGAGCTGAAGCAGCGACAGGAGTCCATGCAGGCAATGGGTAAGGAACCCCATTGCATGTTACCATGCCATATCTCAATCCAGTAGTGACTGTACAAGCATCCTCCATCTCTGTTCCCTGAGCTTCTGGGGCAAAGAGAAAGGGAGGGTGTACCTGACCATCCACACTGTTGGGCGATGACCTGAGTTGGGGTACTACCTCCTACCCAGAAAGTGTCTCTGTTTTCTAGACCCACCTCATTGGGGTCCAGAGCTGCATGTTGTGGCTGAGAACACAAGCCCAGAGACATAATGTGACCTCCCCTTGGGTCAGAGGTAGTCCAGGGTCTCCCTCCCAAAGGCTCCAGTGCCCTACCCCTCCCCCCCAACACATGCTTGTTCTCTGGATCCTGCAGAAGCAAAGACCCAGCAGCTGCAGGAGGAAAGTGAGCGCAGGGCAGTGGCTGAAAGGCAGGTGCAGAAGCTGGAGGAGCAGGTACAGCTGCTGGCAGGGCGGCTGGACAGTGCTGGCCAGCAGATCCGCTGGGCCAGCACAGAGCTGGACAAGGAGAAGGCCCGTGTCGACAGCATGGTTCGCCATCAGGAGGTAAGGCCCTCAACCAGGCACTGGGCTTCAGGCTTTGCAGTCCTTTTGTTCTTACTCCCTTCCACAATAGTAGGCAGTACATATTCCTGTCATTCCCATTCATGCATGGGGAAACTGAGGCTCAGTGAGATTAAGGAAGCTTCCCAGGCTGTACAGCTAAGAGGCAGAGCCAGACTCAGCACACTAACAGTGGTTCTCACTGCTTTACAGTCAGTGCAAGTCAGGCAATAAGGATTTCAATGACAGGCTGATATGACACTGGAGGAAAAGAAGAGAAGTCTATTTGCCAGAATTCCTCTTCTAGTAGGGACTGTGTATGACTGAAAAAAATGTGTGGGAGGGAAGGCTTCCAGGGTCAGCCAATTGCCTTACAAGGGTGGAGGGTCTGCAAGCTGGGGACTTGAACTGGATCTGGTTGGGTGTACATGTCTGCTGTATCCCCTCTGCCCACTTTCCCTCTATGTATGTGCACAGACCCCTGTACACAGACTCATGGCACAAGGGAAGGAACTGGGAGGGTTGTAGATACTAGTCCCATGTTGACCTAGACTGGTGGACCTCACAGCCTCCCTGCCCTTCCTTCTCACCTAGTCCCTGCAAGCCAAACAGCGGGCCCTGCTACAGCAGCTGGACATCCTGGACCAGGAGCGTGAGGAGCTACGGGGCAGTCTGGAAGAGGCCGAGGCCCAACGAGCCCAGGTGGAGGAGCAGCTACAGAACCTGCAGAGCCAGAGGGAGCAGGGACAGTGCCAGCTCCAGGCCCAGCAGGTGAAAATGGGCAGGGTGAGACGGGGGGAGCTTCCCTTTCATCAGAGAAACCTCTAACCTGTTAAGTGTCTGTGGGCCTGTCCTATGTCTGGAGGTGGGGCAGTGACCCTAGGGAGCCATCCTGGGACCAGATCTGAACCTCTCCCTGCCCCAGGAGCTACTACAGAGCCTGCAGCGGGAGAAGCAGGACATGGAGCAGGTGACAACAGATCTGCGACTGACCATCTCAGAACTGCAACGGGAGTTGGCGGAGCTGAGGGAGCGAGAGCGGCTGCTGGTGGCCTTTCCTGACCTACACAAGCCCATGGAGGCCCAGATCCCAAGTAGGGTCCTAGGAATGCTGCCAAAGACATTGTTGGGCCTGAGTGGGCAACTAAAGACTCACCTTGGCAGGACACTGGGCCTGCAACTCCCCCAGTCCACAATGTACGTGGTAGTGGGGAAGGTGTGACAGCTAGAAGTGCAGCCCTTAGAGTCACCATGACAACACATAACATGCTTCATGTGTTGTCCACCCCTTTGTGTAGAGGGAACATGGAAACCCAGAGGTGAGGTGACTGCCTATGGTTGCTACAGCAGAATCTAGAAATGGATCTAGTTGCCTGTAGTGCATGGTTTTCACACATCACGTGCCAGTCCTTGCTCAGCTTTTCTGTGTCCCCCTTTCTGGTCTCTTCCCAAACCATACTACAGAGCTGGTTCCAATGACACAGTCCCCCCACTCTCCAAAGTCCTAGACCCCATGCTCAGGAGTGCTATGTACCCACATTGGCACAGGATTAAGTGTCAGGCAAACTGGGGTTCTTTTCTCCTCTCAGCCCCTACAGCCCTCTAAGACTCTGGAGGTGAATCCTGTCACAGAGCTCTCGGGAAGATGCATTGTAATTTAGTTGATCATTATAAGTCATCATTTCTGAGCATTAAGTGCCAGGCCCTTCTGAGGGCAGATAGCTCCTTTTTCCAAACCAGGAAACCAGAAATCAAAGTGGGCAATAACTTTCCCAGGTTTACACAGCTGGAAGCAAGCATGGGAAAGAACATCCAAGCTGAATTCTTGTGACTCATCCAGGGCGGCCTGAATGATTCTTAGGACAAACTCACTGTATTTCTGGCACAACAAAAACAGGTGACCTTGGAAGGGATTCTCTCTTTCCCTTTTGTGGTGCTGGAGATAAGAGATCCACTCTTTCATTTTTTTGCCAAATCATTGTGAATTCGAACAAGGCCCTACCTAGGAGAATGAAATGCAATGGATGGAAAGCACAGTGCATTGCCTAGCCCCAAGCCTGTCCTGTTATGTCCTGTCCCATTGGACACAAGAGGCAGACCCAATGTGGTGGGGTCCCAGATATCATGTCTCCACAGACTCTGGCAACGTCACAGATGACATGGAGAGGCAGGTGCAGGCCAATGACATCCGCATCCGGGTCCTGCAGGAGGAGAACGGGCGGCTCCAGTCAATGCTGTCCAAAATCCATGAGGTTGCCCAGCAGGGGGCCCTCAAGGTGGGTCTGAGAGGGTGACCCTTTGGGACTTAGAGGAGGCCTCTACCCATTGATATCTTCAGGTTGCCTGGGAGCCTGCTGAAAGCCATCTTCATTTGGTATTTAAGCAGTGCTTTTGTGAAACTTCACTCAAGGTGTGAGGATGTTAAAGTTCCAGTGTCCTCTATCTCCAAATCCCCTTAGAGACTTTAATACCATCAAATGTCAGAGGAACCTTCCCATATATACTGCCTGCCTGAGGGTTTGCTGCTGAGGAAAGCCCTGGACAGCTTCCTAGGTCATACCACTTAGTGGAAGGGACTATGAGTTCAGGCTTTCCCTCCCTGTCCCTACTAAGACACCCACTTTGTACAGTGGGTAGGGTACAGAGCTTGGCCTTCTTTGCAGATGATTCCACAGGACCAGCTCTGGTCCCCTCCCAGCAAGGGAACCCAAGGAGCAGCATCCCGGGCCCAGGCCCAGAGTACATCCCCAGGGTGAGTGAGTCTTTGTCAAATGTAGGACAGATGGAGTGGTATAGGCCCCCTTGCTCACAGGGGATTTTGTGATCTTGTCTTCCCTCAGGCCTCTAGGCAGGTGGCACCCTCCTGGCAGCAGGACAAGCAGTGCAGGCAGGACTCTGCCAGGCCAGTCTCGAGCATCCCCACCTCGGCAGCCCTCCACCTGGCCCAACAAATCCTCCCTGGAGGACATGACCCACTCTGCCATCTGTACCCAGAACCCCATCCGGACCTTGGCCAAGCTGAGGAGGAGACTGTCACCAAGCCGGGGCCAGGCGGGTACTGCAAACCAGCCCCAGGAACCACCCTTGTAGGCTGTGGCAGAGGTGGGGATAGAGGACAAGTAGCTGGCAACTCCCAATGAAATAAAGGCCCAGCCATCTAACCAAGATGATCTTGGCCTCACAGAATGGCTAAACTGGACAAAGAGTCCTTCCTTCCCTGCCCAGACTGGAGGCTGAGGCCACACCATGCAGGTCTTCAGCGAGCAGAGACCTGGCACTGTGGGCCATCAGTAGGCAGGAAGCTTCCCGACTCCCTCTTGATAGACTTGGGGAAAGGAGAGCACATCACAAAGAGAAGCTTCTAGCACCTGGGCCAGGTGAAGAAATCTTACTATTCTCACAGCAAGTACCAAGGGGTAAACCTGGTCTCTGTCTTCTCTTTGTTGCAGAAGTAGTCCAGGCACCTACAAAGAGGAAGATCAGGGTGTGGGGGATGTACAGGGGAAAGACCAGTGAGGGCATCTGAGGCAAGCAATGAGTCAGAGGCTAGGATGCTGGCTCAGGGCTCACTGAGGCAAGCAGAGTGCAGCAGTGCCTTCAGCCTCCCACCGTGGCTCTGATCCTGGGTCTGGGGCATTAAGGACCCAAGAATACTAGGCATTCATTCACGGAGGAACTCCATGCCTTTAAGAATTGGTTATGAAGGATATCTCTAAGTCCTGGAAGTCAGAGCCTCAGGAGAGCCACCAAAGGCATGGCCAGGACTTTGGATACTTAGCCCCTCAAGTCAGCAGCAATGTCCCCTGTATTGAATCCCCTTCAGGTATCAAGTGTCTGACTTCCTTTTTTCTTCTACCAGCCAGAGCAAACTCTGCTTTTAACAGGCCCAAGTCAAGGTCAGACTCACTTGAGTGCTTTCCCTACCTTAAAGTCAACTGTGCATATAACATAAGCTAATCATAGGGGTAAAATCCCTTAAGAGTCGCCATTCCAGAGACAATACAAGGCATGTTCATGACAAGGTAGGAATGGGGGGGACCTTAGGAGCCATGTGAGAATTCCACCTACCACCAGCAACATTCACACAAATTTTACATATTAAAATATATCCACATTTATTTTACTATTAAAACTTCCCTACCCCAACTCTTAAAAAATGGATGCCCTTGGAAAATGTTCCACTTTTATCCTGTGGCTTCAAGTATCCTGATCAGCAATACACAGCCCAACCAAGAACAGGACTGGATGGTTTCTGAGGCCTCTGGTCCTAGCCAGGCACAGGAAGGGAGCCCAGCTGAACAAGCAGCAGGACCCATGGCTCCCAGTGCCCAAGATTGAGGGCAGCAAGCAGTAGAGTCGTCTCTGGGTTTAACATCACAGCCTTGACCAAGACATATTCTGAAACACGGTTAGGTCAGGGTGTCCAAAGGTCAGAGAACTTTTCCCTTAATCCACCCCCCAATAAATAAGCATAAAACCCAGCCTCTGTAGCCTCAGGGACACTGAGAGCTCCTGGGGCTGGGGACAGCAGCACTGGGCCCCACATTTTCTTTCCCCAGGGTCCTCAGAGCTACCCGTGACAAGGGCAGAAACAGATGTCCCAGGATTATAAAGATCCCAGAGTGACCTGTCTCCCTTGTGTGGTGGGTCCTGGCTTGCATCCTTGTCCTGGGGGCTGCAGGACCCTTCTTCCCAGCAAGGTCACAGTGGGACCCATATCCTTCCTTCATCCACAGGACTGGCAGTCCTGTCCACCCCACTGTCCTGTCCCAGAAGTCCAGGCTGTCCTGTCTCAGGGTACAGGTGGGAAGGTTCCATCCCACATCCAGAATCCCCAGCTAGTCATCTGAGTAGTGGTTCCCTGCAGGGAAGGAGAAAGAACATGGAGAAAGGCATCAGGTAGGTCAGATAGAAGGGGTCAGCCAAGGGCCCCAGCCCCTGATGCTCACCTAGGACATTGAATTTGCACAGCGGACAAGTCTGCTGGAGTATCAGCCAGGGGTCCACACAGTCTCGATGGAACTCATGCTTACAGGGCAGTACCCGGAGCCACTACAAGGGAAGGGGAAAATGGGCTCAAGCTACAGGGACAGGATTCCATAAGGGGGGCCCCAGGCCTATAACCCTCACCCGAACTGGGGAACCAAAACCCCCTGGGGCCTGCCTACCACCCTCTCCATCCCATTTCTGCTTTTTGTAGCCCTGGTTAGGGGCTGGGAAGAGAAAGTCCTGGTTGGGGTGGTTCCAGGTCTCTCAGGAATATGGTAGAGGAAGCCAAGTTCAGCTGATCCTGCCCAGGACACTCACCTGTTTGTTGCAGAAGTAGTCCAGACACACAGCACAGGTCTCAGTGACCAGCTCTGGGTGGCCCTGTGCTACCCTGCTGAGACGGCAACGCCGGGTCTTAAGGGATGCCAGTCTCCGCACTATACGCCGCTTGAACAGGTCCACCTGTCAAGAGAGGACAACCACAGTCTTGCAGGCCCAAGGTCTGTGGGCACCAGGGCTCCCTCAGTCTGGCTCCCACCTGGCCGCTGGGCTCCTGTTGGCTCTGCCGAGATGCCTGTCGCTGGGCCTGGACCACAAGGCCTGTGCACAGGAGCATGGCCACTAGCAGAATGGCATTCCACAGCTGCTGCAGAGGCTTCTGGGGAGGGAGGTGGGTGTCAAGGGCGCTGGAGCTGCCCCACACTCTTCCCTAGGAATATCCACGGCCAGAGACCAGCCAGGTGACATGCCCTGGAGGCCTTTGTGTCCCCCCAGGCTCCTGGCTTCCTCTTCTGAAGCCTCCATCCCTCCTACCTGGATGATCCTCAGGATCTGCCCCCAGCTATGTTTGCTTCACCCAGTTGCAAGGAAAGCCATATCTGTCCCCAGCATCGTTCTACCCATTCTCATCTTGCACATCCTCCTGGACTGCTTTCTCAGGCACTGCCATCTCCCACTCCCCTCCATCCAGGCTGAACATTCACATGCTCGATCTTGAAGCCAGCCCCAGAGCTTTGTTGCTTTGCTCCCCTAGAGGTCTCATGCACCCCTCCTCCATCCCATGACCTTTTGGTCCTCAACCTTGCCCACCCATTTCCCACCCACAGACAGGGGATCTCACCTGCAAACTTGACCCCATAGCACAGTTTCCTCCTTTACCCACTGCCTCTCTCCTTGTTCCATACTCCTCGCTCCTTCCATGTTTGTGCCCTTCCACACAGGTACTGCTCCCCGTCTCAGAAACTATTCTTCCTTACCCTTCCCCTGAAATAGTGTGCCTTTGGACCCCTTTTCTTTTTTGAGGGGGTGGAGGATACCAGAGAATGAACCCAGGAGTGCTTACCCACTGAGCCACATCCCCAGCCCTTTTTTATTTTGAGACAGGATTTCACTGAGTTGCTTAGGGCCTCACTAAGTTGCTGAGGCTGGCTTTGAACTTGCAATCCTCCTGCCTCTGCCTCCTGAGCCACTGGGATTATAGGGTACACCACTGCACCTAGCTGGACCCCATTTCTTGCACCACTGGGGTGATATTCTCTTCTGATCTCCACCTGCTCAGCCCTCCTCATGTCACTTTAATCACGGGTTTCCTTGCTGCTGCCCTCGGTGGTCCACAAGCTCCCTGTTGGTGGGAGGAACCACTTCTGACATGGTCACACTATATCCTCAGTGCCTCTCCTAGTCATGGAATGAATGTGCTGGGAAACATGACTGAAAGACCACTATAAAACCTGTGGGGCCTCAGAGCTGCTGGGGGAAGAACCTGACCTTAACTTAGCTTCTACCTCTTGGCTACTAGTCTTTGATCACTGAGAAGCTGGCTCAGGAAATGATGTGGCAGAGTAAGACAGACATCATCCTCTTCCATGCAGGCATGCTATTTCACACAGCCTGGATATGTGTTCTTATTAATAAACATTCATTTAAAAGCTGTTGGCATTCCTAACAGCTCTGTGCCTTCATGTTCTTTCCCAACCAATGTTGAAGTTAAACTTCCACCATGGCAGAGGAGAGGGGCTAAGAAGTAATTTGATGGTTAAAGGCCATCACTCTAGACCAGGTTGGGGGCTACTAATGCCATGAGATGTTCTTGCTTGAGACAGGGGAACTCTGGGGAATACTACCAAGAGGTATTTGTGAGCCTGCCTATATCTCCTCTCCAGTTGCAGTGGGGTGCTGGCACCTGATCCAGGAAGCTCTCCTAAAGCTCCCTAAGTTGAGCTCAGGTGACCTTGCTATGACCTGGAAGGTCCTATGTTACTACCAGCATGGCATCCCAGCAGAGATATCTGACAGAGCATCTCTGGCATATCTACCTCCAGGACTGGGCCCTACAAGCCCAGAGTTGGACCTGCCTAGTTCTGTGTCCCATACTATGCCGAGACAGAGTGACATGTGGCAGGATTTGCTGAGTGGCCACTACAGAATAGCCCATCAGGCTAGCAAGCTGAAATGTCTGACCAGTTACCCTTGACACCCCAATTACCCTGGCCACCCAACAATTATAATGGGCACAACCCATAAAAGCAGTATGGCCAAAGTTGAAAAATCAACAGTATACTGTCCCTGTTCCCAAATGAGGAACATGAGCCCAGAGATGTTAAATACTAGGTCTGTAATCACTCAGCTAAGGTTTTGGAGCCAAAATTTGAATCCAAGCCTATCTGACTTGAAGCTACTTAGTGTGCACACTAGACAAAGCAGGGGCTCCAGATATGTTTAAGGAGAGGATATACTTTCTTTTTGCAGTTCTGGGACTTGGATCCAGAGTCTTGGGCATGCTAGGCAAGTACTCTACTACTGAACTACACCCCCAACCCAAGAGAATACCAAACATCAGGAAACTGAGAGGCAAAACTGGCCACCAGGAGAAACACATGCTCCCCAACACCTGCATGTACATTATGGGTTATCCTAAAAGCCTGTAAAAGGTTGGCAAAGCACAGCTGTGGCTGAACAGAGAGTGTAAAGAGCTTTCTCAAGCAGGCAGGCAAGATGAGCTGGGAAGGTTCTGCTAGACATATGAAGATGAAGAAAAAGGGTATCAATGCCCAAGGTCAACCATGGACAAGCCCCAGAGGCAGGAGCTCAGTGACTGGCACAGTGTAGCCATAGTATAAACAGAAGACTCGAAAAACAGATAAGTGATGAGGGCTATGAAATCCAGGCTAAGGAGTCAGAACTTTGTTATGAAGATAATGGAAAGCCAAGGAAGGCTACCGGGTAGGAGGATCATGGCAAGAGCTAAATTAACTACACATGTCCCTGGGCCAGATGTGTCACTGAAAGCCCACAGTACCATGTCACTAAACACATAAGCCCTGTGAGGTAAGAAGGGCTATCCTTGTCATCAAGGCAAGGAGCGGCCACAGGATTTTTAAGACAAGGCATATATGTGGCCCCACCTGACTTACCTGCTCCTGGGCACGACTGCCTCCCAGGCATACCAAGTCCTGCCATCCTCCATAACTATCCTTGGAGAGGCTGCAGGTGGTCCATAGGGTCAGCTTCCACTCGATGTTGGCTGACAGGGATTCTCCACTGGTGATCTCAGCTGTGGCTTGGGTCCTCCTAGGAAGGAAAGTCACATAGGGGGCAGGCAGAAGGGCCCTTGGGAAAAAAGGCCCAGACTCACTCATTCACCCACCCTATTCCTGCATGGATATACCAAAATGTCATTCCTATAGGCTTTCCACTTTGGCTCTCAGGCCTTTCCTGGCTGTTGATTTTTCTAGTTTTCACCTCATACCAAGGAAGAGCACATCAATTGGGTATCCTGTTTCTTCCTTGCTGGGACCAGTCTTCTCTGCCCATAAAGCCACCCCCTCCCTCCAGGCCCCATGTGTCCATCCTATTTCCTCCCCCATTTTTCAGCCAGGGAGAGCACAGTCTTAAGGTGAACAGATTAAGTCCTGTTTCTGAGAACCCTCTGGGAGAGCCAGAACACTCCACACCCAGGCTTCTAGGCCCAGTCCTTTGAGGTCAAACCCCAACTCACTGCAGCAGTGCCTCCAACAGCTTGGTGACATTGGAAGAATAATGGAGGACAATCACAGGTCTGAGCAGAAGTTGGGATATGTCCAGCTGTAGGGAACAGGGAGGTCAGCAGGCCTTGGTTGTTGCTCTTACCCCAACCTGCTCACCCTCAGAGCCTACTCCAGTTTACCTCTCGGACCACGTTGTGGTTCAGGATGAGGAGCAGTAGGGCAGAGGCTCCCAGGAAGAGGGCCCGTTGCATCTGCAAGAGGACAGAGGTGGGAAGCTAGCATATACCCTGCCACACACCTGTCTCAACACCTGTGGCCCCAGCTGCTCTTAGCTCCTTGCTCTGCAGTGAGTGTTCCCTCTGGATAGACTAGCCATAAGCTCCTTGAAGTCAAGGGAGGAAACTCTCATTCCTTCGGCTCTATAGAATTCAAAATCCTAGTCCTTTCCCTGGACTGAGCAAGGCAGTCCCCCCACCCCAACCCAGATTCCCATCACCTGCTTCTAGAGCCTGGTCCAGTTTCCTGTCTCCCTCCACCTCCTTGCTTCAACATCATACTACTTTAATTCTCCAAACAGGGGACCCACGCATGCTCATGGCGTCTCTGAAAGCTCCTTAAAAGCCATGTGGTAGCCTGGCACTAGCAGATGCTGGAGGACCATTTCCTCCAACCCCCCCCCACCCCACCCCCACACATACACCCTCTGCACCTGCTGGACCAGGGCCTTGGGACAGGCCTGCGGCCCACTGCCCTTATTCTCCTGGTGAAATTGAGCTGCCTGCTCCTTGCCCACATATGCCACTGCGATCCAGCCTTCTACCGGCACCTCTTGCTCAGCATCCACGATGTCCATCTGTATAGCAAGGGCCATGAGAAGAGGAAGGCAGGGAAAGGTGGAAAAGAGAGGTGGAAGGGTCGGCTACAGAAAATACAAGGTCAGGGTCTGGGAACGAGATTGCAGAAGTATATAAGTTTTTGGAAGCCTGAATGCTGGGGGACTAGGAAGCCTGGGCTGGGAGCGCTGGGCTGTCAGCTCGGTTTGGTCCAGGGTGAAGGTGAGTTCTGGATGCGGGGTCTATAGCGGGGTATCAGATGGGAGGTTTGGGCGAGGCGCGCTCACCAGCAGCAGGCGGCCCCCCAGCTGGGGCGCCGGCTCGGCTTCGGAGCCGATCCTGACGCCCTCCAGGACCAGAGCGTCCTGCCGCGGCAGCCTCACGTCCACCCGCACTGCGCGGGCTCCGCCCCGCCCCACTCGAGCGGCCGGCTCGCTGCCGTCAGCCGCGGCCCCGGGCCCCGCCAGGCCCAGCCACAGCGGCAGCAGAGGCAGCAGCAGTAGCAGCGGCGACGGGGCTGGCGGAGGTGGCGGGGTCGGAGGCGACTTCAGCGAGGGGCGAACGGTGGGCCCCATGGCTGAACCCGGCGCGCTGGCAAGTCTAGGGACCTGGGGTCCCAGGCGCGGCGGGGATAGCTGAGAGAGCTACGCCGCGGCCGGACGGGGCGGGACGTAGGGAGGGGCGGGGCCACGGCCGGACGGGGCGGGGCGCCGAGAGGGGTGGCACGGGTCCTGGAAGCTCCGTGCCCTAATTGGGCCGCGCGCGCCCCCTTGTGACTGAGGAGAGTCCCGGCCCCGGAGGCCGGAAGCTGAAAGGGGGCGGAGCCCGGGTCCTGGTGCGAGTGCGAAAGACCAAGCGTTGGCCAGCCACCAATATTGTCAGACAGTCCAGTCTGGCGCAGGGTAGACCGAGGGAGATAATTGGAAAGGGTAATCCGGAGAGGCAGAATCGCAATCAGGGCCTGAGAAGGACGGCAGCGAGGGACATTTGGGGTTGTGGGTCTTGGCCCTTGCTCTGTGGAGGCCCATAGTGTGGCCAGGATCATGTTAACACCCGCTCTTCCCTGGGTTTATCCCCATCTGATCAAAGGGCAGAAGACAGAAATTGACATGGGTAGCAGATGGAAGGGTCCCCGGCGGACAGGAAGAGGGACTGGAGGGCGCGGGGCTAGCCCAAGCACACAGATCCTTGGTGGGGCAAAGAGGCGGGTCACTTTCGTCACTTACTTCATCTGTGAAATGGGCTTGACAAAAATCAAGACTGCCCTACCCCCAACAAATAATCTCTAACACCTACTGGAAGGCGAAGGTTTCACTACTGTCCTAAAATTGGTCTGTTTCTCTAAATGTTGAGCTTCAGGAGGCTTTTAAAAATTGAACAGTAAATTTAAAAAAGAAAGAAAGAAAGAAAAAGAAAAAAGGCCAGATGAATCTTGACACTACCTCACCTACTATTTTATTATAATATAAAAAGTTCAAACAGAAAAACAAAAAAATCTTACAGTGAACTCCGATCCAGCCATCAACATCAATGGTCAAAGTATTCCTGAAGAAGAGTGAGATAGACTAAAATAGCCTGATACCAGTGCAAAAACAGACAAGTGGGGCATGAAACAGGCCAGAAACCGACAAAGTGTAAACCTGGTGTGTCAGAGGGAATGTTGCATTTTGGGAAATGAAAGAAGATAGTGTGGTGGACCCTTCCAAAATTTTGCTAAGAAGCTGGGTGTGGTGGCGCATGCCTGTAATCCCAGCAACTGGGTAGGATGAGGCAGGAGGGTCAAAATTTCAAAGCCAGCCTTAGCAATTTAGCAAGAACTTTTCTCAAAATAAAATACAAAAAGGACTGGGAATGTGGTTCAGTGGTTAAGAGCCCTGGGTTTGATCCCTGGTACAAAAAAAGGAAAGAAAGAAAAAATTTTTGCTAAGCAATCAGTTTAACCACTAGAAAAAGAAGTGAAATTGGACTTCTACTGTATATCATAAACAGAAAATCAATTCCTTCTGGATTAAGAACCTAAACATGAAAAGTAAAACTTCAAACATTTTTTAGAAAGAAATAGGACAATACTTCAAGGTCAGAAGAGATTCCTTATGACATAAAAGCAAAATTGTAAAGGAAAATATTGAAAATGTATCCATTATAAAATGAAAAAAAATCTTCTGTTAATGAAAACAGCAGAATAAAGTGGTAGAAAATGTCCCAAACTGGGAGAAGATATTTGCAACCAAATGATTCATATGAAGAATAAGTAAATATATAGATATGGGCACAAGAAACAAATAGGCATTGAACAAAAGAGCCAATAAATATGAAAAGATAGCTAAAGATATATTTTGGTATCTTTATGTGTAGAATATTATACAACAGAAAAAATTAATGAACCAGTTATGAGGAGCACCCTAGATAAATTCTTGCAGAATGCTGAGCACAAAAGAGGGTCTCCAAATAATATGTACTAGCTAAGCTCAAAATATCAGATCAATACACAAATATCAGATGTGGTTTTATATACCATAATTCAAAAAAGAAATTCAGACAACAATTCCAATTACAATAGTATCTGAAATAATAAAATATCTAGGAATGAATAAAAACAAAAAAGGAAATAAAGCTTGTGCACTGTAAACTACAAAACCTTGCTGAAATAAATTAAAATAAATAAATGGAAAGATAGTCAAACTAATGAATTGTCACTACAGGTTCAATTTTTTTTTTTTTTTTTTTTTTTTTGATGGTGCTGGGGATTGAGCTCAGGCCCTCACACATGCTAGATAAGCACTCTACCAGTGAGCTATATCCCCAGTCCTTTATATTTTTAAGATGGTCTCACTAAGTTTCCCAGGCGGTTCTCAAACTTGTGATCCTCCTGCCCTAATCTTTTTGTTTTTATGTTGTTGTTTTTTTTTGTTTGTTTGTTTTTTTAGTTATTGATGGACATTTATTTATTTATTTATACATGGTGCTAAGAATCCAACCCAGTGCATCACACATGTCAGGCAAGCACTCTACCACTGAACCACAACCCAACCCCAGCTGGAATTACAAGCATGTGCCACTATGCCCAACTAATCCCTATTGAAATTGTGTGTGTGTGTGTGTGTTGGGGGGTTTACTGGGGACTGAGCTACATCCCCACCCATTTTATTTTTTACTTTGAGACAGGGTCTTGAAAATTGCTCAGGGCCTTGCTAAATTGCTAAGGCTGACCTTGAACTTCCAGTCCTCCTGCCTCAGCCTCCCGAGTTGCTGGATTTAGAAGTGTATGGATCCGCACCCAGATCCTATCAATACTCTAATGTTCTTTTTTGAAAAAATGGGAAAACACATCCCAAAATTCGTATGGAACTGCAAGGGGCCCTGAATAGCAAAATATTTTAAAAGAACACAATTAGAAGACTTAAACCTACTATAAACAGGTTTATTTATTATTTATTCCATGGGTTTATTTCTGAACTCTGAATTCTCTTCCATTTGTTTACAAAACAGTATGGTACTGGCATAAAAACAGACACATAGACAAATGGAAGAGAATTCAGAGTTCAGAAATAAACCCATGGAATTGATTTTTGAAAAGGTGCCAATACCTCAATGAGAGAAAGAACAGTTTCTTCAAGAAATGGGGGCTCTGAATATTTAAATGCAAAAGTATGTAGTTGGACCCTTACCTAACACCATGTACAAAAATTAATTCATAATGGATCAACAGTAGGAATGTGAACTGATATAGTAAATGTGGATAACAGTATGTCTATTCCCCAAAAATGAAAAAATAATAAGTGTCGATGAAAATGTTGGGAAATTTAAACCTTGTCCATGGCTGGCAGTTTCTCACAAAGTTAAACATAGAATTAACATGACCCACCAATTTCACTTCTAGGTATGTACCCAAAAGAACTGAAATCAGGGACTCAAACAAATACTTATACCCACCTATTTACAGTAGCATTATACATAATACTCAAAAGGTGGAAACAACCCAATTGTCCATAAACAAGAATGGATAAACAATTCAGTATTCACATACAATGGAATAACACTGAGCCATAAAAAGGAATACAGTACTGATATATGCTGCATCATAGAACCTTGAAAACATTATACTAAGCTGGGCACGATGACATGCACCTGTAATCCCAGTGGCTCAGGAGGCTCAGGCAGGGGGATGGCAAATTCAAAGCCAGCCTCAGCAACTTAAGCAAGGCCCTAAGCAACTTAGCAAGAATTTGCTCAAAATAAAAAATGAAATGACTTGCATACACAAGGCCCTGGGTTCAATCCCCAGCACCACACACACAAAATAAATAAATAAAATAAAATGAGCTGGGGATGTGGCTCAGGGGTTAAGTACCTCTGGGTTCAATTCCAGGAAGGAAGGAAGGAAGGAAGGGAGGGAGGGAGGGAGGAGGGAAGGAAGAAAAAAAAAAAAAAAGGGGGGGGGGGGGGGAGGGAGGGAAAAGAAAACATTATACTAAGAAGCCAGATATAGAAGATCACATATTTTATAATTCTATTTTTATGAAATATCCAGAATAGGCAAATTCATAGAGATAGAAAGTAGACTGATGGTTGGAGAGCTAGGGGGAAATTATGAGTGATTGCTTAACGGAAACAGGGTTTCCCTTCAGCGTGATGAAAATGTTTGGAACTAGATAGAGGTGATGGTTGCACAATAATGTGTTAAATGCCATTAAAATTTTCACTTAAAAATGGTTAATTTTATATTCTGTGAATTTCACCACAAGAAAAATGATCCAACACATGGAACTGACTATATTATTTAGGCACATATTCAGATGGAACAAAACTATGAAGGAAATCAAGGTGATACACTGGGTGCTGTGGCAAACACTTATAATCCCAGCTACATGGGAGGCTGAGGCAGGAGGATCCCAAGTCAAGGCCAGGTTGGGGAACTTAGTGAGACTCTGTCTCAAAATAAACACATTTTGAAAAGGACTGGGGATGTGGCTTAGTGCCAAAGTGCCTCTGGGTTGAATCCTTAATACTTAGAAATAATAATAAGTTGCAATGTATAGTCTGGAGGCTCTTTGCTGCCCTTAGAGAGTCTTGCTTCTCCCATTCTGTGAACATCCCAGCCCATTTCTCAGACCCAATAACAGTGCTACAAGGGCATTCCTGTCATCAGTCTGGCTGTTGACTCCATGATCTGACTATCATTTTTCCCACTACTTTCTTCTTGCCCTTGCTCCACCCATGCAGGGGTTCTTGATCACCTGTCCCCAGCATAGGCCCCAACCAAACACAGATCATCACTCATAAATTGTTCCTTCCTAGGAAACATTTATACACACACACACACACACACACACATGTATATATATATACACACACACACACACATAATACCCACATCCTATGCTTTTGTCAGTAGGAGCTGCCACTCCTTACAAACGTGGTAGGTAACCAGAGGTACCCTGTGGACTGTCTTCCCATGAGGTAGTCCTTGGTTATCCTGGAGAACAAGAACTTAAGGATATCTTCTCAATCTGAGTAGGTATAGCCCAGCCCAGCCAGGGCCCTGATGCTGTGCAGTGAGATTTGTGGGCATGTGAAGGAGCTGTGAAATATGGAGTAGTATGAGGTGGAAAGAGCATAAGCCCAAGAAGGGAGGCAACCAGAAACTAAGGGTCAGAGTTGACTGCAAGTAG